TTATTTTAAGAATTGTTTTATTTTATTTTAGAATTGTTTAATTTTATTATAGAATTAGTTTTATTTTATGAAAGTACCTATTTGCAAATTTGAAATAATTGAATGCCATTTATTTTTTTGTACTTTCTAGCAAAACTATGTAACTTTCGTCATGTTAAACAACAAGGGACGTACACCACAAAACAGTTTATGGAGTACTGAACATAGAGAAGACATTTATCTTCGTTTGTGGTCACAATCCTGAACTGATTCAGAATTAGTAATTCATACTTTGAGCGTATGCCCGAATCATCATCAATTTTGAATTTGTACCGCACGCGTAATCCCTATTATATCTCGGTGTTTCAGGTATAGACAAGCGGTTCAAAATCAATAATAATTTTACCGCGAAGACAGAATAGAACCAGTAGTTCAGTTCTTTTTGTTCCGCGAACGCTTTTTAACTACTGCGCAGGGGCGGTTTCTCGATTGGTTTATTTGTGCAGTGAACAACCAGTTCAATTTCATAAAAACACATTATTATAAAATTACATAAATCACATAAAAATATAAATTTAATTTTAATATTTTTATTTTCATACGTGTTAAGTTATATTTTTTTAATACATCATAGCTCTCTGGCTAAACGCGTTTCTGTGGCACAATATACCTAAGTATACCGTTTCTGTGGCGCATTATGATGAGTAAACCTAACACGAGTGAGACGATTTGGCGAACGCATATAGCTAAAAAGAGAAGACAACACGCCAAATGATCCTTCAAACTGTCAAAGAACACGCTCACAACTAAGGTTGCCAAACCAGTGTTGCCAGTATAGTACAATTCACAATAATTGTACTAGATGTAGTACATTCTGCGTACATCAGCGTTCACGTGTAAAATATATATTGTGTTCCTTGTTTGGGTTCGTTATCAATAAAGACCCCCTTTTTTTCTCTTCAATGAATTTAGATGTCACTGCACATAGAATTTGAAAAATCTGGTACATTTAAGGAATCTGGTACATTTTTTAGACAAATCTGGTATGTAACAAAAACATATTCTGGCAACACTGTACCAAATCAAACAAACTGTCATTCCGTCTTCCATCATTCCTTTACTGAAACTCTTTAAATAAAACCCCGGTGAATGACATTCCAAGCTTTTTTAATAATTCACCCCAGCGAGTATAAGTCTTAAACAAGATTGTTGAAGAGAAGGATCCCCTCGGCGCTACAACCCGTTGGAATTTTAATATAAGGACCATTAATGTTGTGTACGAAAATAGAGCGTCTCTCATTGAGTGTATGCATGAAATAGAAGAACAATTCACCAAGTCTGTAGTGCAGCCGCCTCTGTTCGCCATACATTAAATGATCCGATTTTCAATTTTTGGCTGATTTTTTTTAAGCTATTGCATAGCTTTTAACGCGGGCTTTGAGCGCGGCGACCAAATCAAGAAATTCCGTAACACCGTAACGAAAAAAAACCTAACACCCCCCACTCCGACCGACACAGCGGTGCGGCGTTAAACAATATTAACTTCTCATTTATTCAATAAAAGAAAATCGAAAAATCAAAAATCGAAAAATCGAAAAATGAAAAATCGAAAAAATCGAAAAAATCGAAAAAATCGAAAAAATCGAAAAAATCGAAAAAATCGAAAAAATCGAAAAAATCGAAAAAATCGAAAAATTGAAAAACCGAAAAACTGAAAAACCAAAAAAATCGAAAAATCGAGCGAAGAAATTCCGTAACGAAAATAAATCTAAAACCTCCACTCCGACCGGCTCAGCGCAGCGGTGCGGCGTTGAAAGCCGTGCATCGTCTAACGTCGTTTAAGTTCGGCAGACTTCGGCACGGTGTTTGTGTACGTGGGACTAGACGTATGCGTGTAGACTAGCTGCTAACTGCTCATAACTGATTCTATCTCTTTTAGATTTCGGAAAAATTGAATTTGAAAATGAATAATGATCCACAAGAATCCACAACAAAATATGGGACCACCATTGACGCGGTATTTTCCAGATATTTAGAGGATATCAAGTCTTAAACTTATGTTTCTTATTTCAGTTACCATAAACCTATATATAGTTTCAATGATAAAAATTCCTGAATAACCTACATGTATTGTAAGATGATAAAAATATTTTAAACAATATTAACTTTTCATTTATTCAATAAAAGAAAAAAATTGTTTTCTTATCGGTCACCACGCTCAAAAAATGTAACTTGAATTATTATCAAAGAAAAAACTTGAATTAATATCAAAGAAAAAAAAATACTGCATAAATAAAATAAATAAATAATTATAATTGCATAAGTTGATAAAAAAATGCTATGCAATAGCTTTACCGCGGCAGTCCCCGAGTGCCACACGTATTTTTTCATCATGTGATGCCCCACGTAAACATACTAGTCAATCAACTGCAGCAAAAAAAAATTGAACCCACTCTAGTAAAAGACGCTATCGATAATTTTGAACGCAGTACCACTCAAGTTCGAAATAATATTGATAGCGTCATTACTGAAGCATCAGTTATAATAAGCGATCAGCCATCAGAAAATAAACGCAAGCGCCCAGGTAACAGCAGATTTGATCACCGGATTTCTGCTTTAGAGGTGTATGACATTATCCTAAATTATACAAAAGACCGAAAATGATTGCAGGACATTGAATGGCGCACTACCTCTACTAAAATTTTTAATATCAAACAACCTAGGAGATACGGAAAAAGGAGATTAGAAAATTATTAGAAATTGTGGTAACAACTCCGATGACAACATCAGAGGCCAAACGATGTTTAAATTGTTCACGTCATTTTTTTGAATTTTGCTTGAAGAAAACAAAGTACAGTAAAATAGTGCTTGGTGATTCTTTTTTTTTTTGTATGGCAATCGTTCCAGCAATCCATCATTCAGCAAGCACGATAAAATCGATGGGACTTTGACTAAGAAGACAACCCTTAAAGGTAAGCTTTTTTGCAAAAATTGCAGAACACCCTAAAATTTTTACCACGAGCCGCCACTGCTACTGCGCCTGCGAAATCGTTACCATTAGTAATAATTCGGTTCAGGATTCTTACCGCGAACAAAGCTATGTATGTCTTATCTCTGGAACTGAAATTTGTGCTGTGCTGTGATCTTTAAACAAGATTCCCTCTTTATTTTTCTTACGTCTAAATATAATTAAGCGTCTCATCTTTATTGCTCGGGATTCCTAGGGTATATACGTTATACATGCTGTGATCAGGTTGGCACACTTTCGAAACATCTGTAAAATTGCAATTGACAAAAAAACCAGAATAAGTGATTTCCTATCGTTCCATCAGTCTACTACCAGTTCAATGTAAGGTTTTTGAAAGGATATACAATATGTTAAACAGCTCGTCAAGCAAAATAAAGAAAAGACGCACAATAAAATTATTTTTAAACGTGAGAAAAAATAACTTAGTGGAATACCAAGCATGCTCTATTTCTGTCTGTTCAATAGCATTAGTTTTATGTACTGTTCTTGGAGTTCAGGAATGAAAAGTTAGCATATTGTATGTCAAACTTCAGCTCATAACACACTTAAAAACATCATCCCCATCACTAGTTTGGATTTCGGAATCACATTGAACCATAGAGCAGGTACATCAACTCGTAGAACAAATACAAGAAGACTTTAATAGTAAAATATTCTGCTCAGCCGTTTTTATCGATATGTCACAAGCCTTTGACAAAGTCTGGTACTATAAAAAATAAATAAATCACTTCCCTGAGTAATAGGATTGCCACCTTTTTGAAAAGTGCAAAAAGGACTATGATGCCGATAGGGGATCCGGTATACAAAAGGGCCTCAATCCTTCTACTGAACTTCTAAAAAAAAGGTCGACGACTGACGACTGTGTCACGAAGCTGTGTCATAAAAACAGTCTTCGTCCTTCCACCGAGCTTCTAAAAAAAAAGAAAAACGTTCACAGCTTGTATATTTTTGTACAAGCCACGTCCCTTGCAAAGATATCAAAGATTAAAACAGGACATATACCGTACAAAAGGACATTTTAAGCTTTAAAAAGTCGCAAGGACATTTGGCTTGAAAAAAGGACAGGTAGCAACCCTACTGAGTGAGCAAGAAAAGTCAAATCTCGTTGCAATTAATTGCCAGTCTGGTTATTATTCCTCCTTATTCTATGAACTGGGTACCACAACGAGCTTTGATTTTCCTTACTTAATGTAGATGGCGTTATTTTTATAACTTCTTATTCTCGAGAATGTATATTTCTTGCTGATGAGTCCCAACAAGGACGAAACCGGTCCAAGAATAGCGTTCTCCTTAATAAGCAAAATCAAAGTTAGTGTCGAAATTATTTTCTTTTTCTACTGTTTCTCATTTAATATAATTCAATGCCTACTGCAACATTACCCGAAGGAGTAGTTGCTTTCAGGAGAGAAACGGTGGCTAGTATTATTGTGACACATGGTTATACAAACGTAAACCGCATTGTTTCAATTAAATCTAACGCTTAAAGCCCAAGAGACCTACTAGCAATAAGATAAAATTATCGTGGAAAAATGAAAAATTGCGAATTTTTACTTTTTTATCTAAATTTATATTCTTCAATTTAATTTGAATTCTTGAGCAAAAGTAAACTACTTAATTATTATAAAAAAATCTTAGTTATTTTAAAAAATACCTACTTTAAAATGTTCCTTTACAATTATTTCATTCATTACTGACCTCAAGATGTAATTCAATTCTTAGTATTTGGTTTTGTTTCAATATTAGGTAACCATAAAACTAAAATGATTGCTTAGGATAATTTACTTATATATTTGCCTTATTTGTGATCGATTTCAAGTGCAAAAATCCTTGTTAGCGTAATATTAATCTAAAACACACTTAAATTAGCATTTTCACATTTAGAATTGTACCTTGTAGTAGTACCAATGGTAATGGTATGGGAGGAAGGAGAACTTGAAATAAGAGAATTCTTTATTAACGGCGGTTAGTGAGCGGCGATTTCAACAGAGTATAGGTCAGGTACAGTGGGTGGCTGTTGGTTTTTAAAAATCGCATATAATCTACGCTCATAAAAAAATGTTTAAAACCGGTGTTTTATTAAGTGCGATTTGTTTTGTGGGAGTTTTGGGGCAACTGAACGATGTTTTCGAATGGAAAGAATTAAATTTTGTTTGGCCCAGTGAGGAAGCAAAGAGCAACGCTTTAAAAAATGGAGATTATATTCCTGATAACAATTTGCCTCTGGGGTTGGCCAGGTGGAAGGATAAATTGTTCGTAACTGTTCCAAGGTAATATTATTTTTTTCATTAATTATTAAATAACCCTTCTGCTTTATTTAACGCCTTTAAATTTTTTGTACAATAGTAGTTTATGTTATAAAGACGAAAAGATTTTCGGATGACTACGAGTAGTTTTCCAGGCGATATGCAGTCGAGTCAAAAGTCCATATTTCATAGGTATATTATTTTATTCGAATGTTCTCAGATATTAAAAAATTAAATCTGAAATGATATTTCCAATTTTTAATGCAAACTGAGATGTGAGTGTGACTATGTCAAATCAATTTCATTATACACTGGCCGCCACAAAATTCCGCCACCCTAAAATTTTGACAAAATTTGATTAGTCCAATTAAATAACGAAAAAAAGCCCCTTCGAGCTTACATTAATTTGTAATTGGATGAAACAAAAAGGACCTTGTGTATTTTGATGTGATCTTTCCGAAAAAAGAAAAAAAAGATGTAGCAGTTTTTCATTTTTTTTTTTAAATTAGGAAAAACCGGGTTTTCCGGAATTTTCCATTGTAAAAATGCTAATTATCTGGGCAAGTATCATTCCGATAGTGAAAATTAATGCACCATTCGAAAGAGGAGGCAAAAATAGTTCGGAAATTCATTGCACAGGTAGTTTTAATGGCGAATTTCTCGCCGCCAGAAGTGCTTTTAGCAAAAAGTCGTTTTTTCGTTTTTTTGATCAGAACCATGGACATGAAATTTGCGATGAATTTGTGGCGAAATTATAAATGTTAGACATATGTGCCCATAAGAGAAGTTGCGTATTTTTTTGTTGGCTCTCAAATAAAATAAGTCCCGCGGCGAAATCTGACATAATTTTTCGGGAATTCGCAGGAAACCAGAGGCGTAGTTTTTTTTTTAATTTTTTCCCATGTGATTTTTTCCGGGTTTTCCGAAAACATCTAACAAAATAAATATATTTGAAAAAACTAACTTCGTCATAGAAAAGAGCACAAAAAAATACACAAAAAGGTATACTTTAAAAATGTTAGGAAATTAATCCTAAGCCTGAGTGTAAGTTCCAACTTGGTGATAAGCTTGCTTTTTGTTCGCTAATATCTGGTAATTCTATATTTTGCACAAAACTCAAGAAACGTCTTATAACAAGTCAGTAAAATACAATTTAATAAATTTTAAGCCTAATAAATTTAGATATGCAAGAAATTTAAAACTGGAAATCGCAAAAAAATCAAATTACAGTAATGTAGTGTATATGTAGAGTTTTGGATCCCGCGGAGCGCGTGTAATGGGACTTTTGTCGGGAGAATTCTACAACTTACTACATACACACTTTAAACTTTGTATACACATTTAAAAGACATGAAATTTGGGTTTGTTTAATTTTCAGACAAAAAAACTAAAATTTGTCAATTTTAGGCAACTTTTCTCAAAAACCGTGTTTTTTGGTCGTCACTCAATGAACAGTGGTCAAAAAAATAGATAAAATATATTTGCAGAATTTTCCGTAATGTAATCGTATTCTAGACACAATAAAGTACCCAAAAAAAAAGTTTTGAGCCATTGGGTGCATTTTTGGCATTTTTGGGCCACTTCAAACTTTCGAAAAAAAAAAATTATTTTTTTTTTTTGAAATTCACACACACATAAGATTTCACATTTAAGAGTAAGCTTTGTAAGTGGCATTAAAAAAATTTAAATAGTTTGGCCGTTATAGGCAAACAATGAAATTAGGACCGCGGTGCATTTTGCCCTTCCGCCATATGCCCAATTTTGGGATTTCTCTTGCCCCCTTCTGGATATCACTAGTCACATCCCTTAAGTTCAAAACGCATTTTTGTTTTTTCAAATATCTTAATTTTTACCAATGTTATAAAGAATTTAGTGTTTGAACATTTAACAAATTCAATTTTTCGACCATCGTCGCCTCAAAATACTAAACAAATTTCAATCGTCCATACCGCGAGAAAGGTGCATCGGATCAAAATTTTTCAAGAGACATAAAAATTAGCATTTTTCCTAAGCTTTCAAATGTCGTAAACTGCGTTTTAAAAATATTGATTTATTTCCGACATGCGCCTGCGTAAAATTGAAAAATTGACAAAATCCAAAATTTCGGCACTTTCGAAAAACTGCTACATTTTGTTTTGCCTTTTTTCGAAAAGATCACCTCAAAATACATAGAATCCATTTTGTTTCATCTAATTACAATTTAATGTAAGCTGAAAACCCGTAATTTAATTCGATTAGATGTTTTATAACTTTTTTATGTTTTATTCTATTTTTATGAATTTTCTAGCAGTTTGTAGATAAATTTATTGTGATTTTTTAACATTATTTTAATAAGTAACATTTTTCATTTAGGCAATATTATACAGGAGTAAATCAAAATGTTGTTGTGGCAACTTCAAAACACCTTGTAGCAAATTGATACAGATACTTTTGTTTACATACTGTTTGCTGTAATCTCAGAGTATTCCAAACATTTTGTTTTTTGATTCATCCCATTATCTCATTTCTTTTGTGAGCTGATTTTTTTTTAATAAAACGATGTTAATTTTAATTAGTTTGTGACAAATAGATGTTAAGCTATTGGTTAAAAATTATTATCGAAGTTGCGATTATTGTGACAAAATGTTTGACATTGACAGTTTCTTATTAGAATTTGTTGTGTTGTTATAATGGTATTAACTACAGCAGATTTGGGTCGAATTGTTCTAATAGAGGATGGCCGTACTAAAATTTTTAATAATTTAAGTTTTGGTTAATGCTATATATCTTTCTTTACGATTTTCTAAATTTCTCTACTATTTTGACTTTTGATACATAAAATGACATTTTTTGTAATCGTAGCAAGTGTCAAAATGATCTACTTTACGCAACCAGTTGCATAATTTTGAACATTATGAAACTGGTTTCGAAAAATTCATTATGTTACCAGCTGCGAAAAGAAAAGAAAAATATTTTTTTTTTGTTTTAAAATCAAATGTTGTTTTGGTCCTCATTTTCCATTCTAAAGCAGCACAATAGCTATTTATGAAACCAGTTATGAAATGCCTTATTTTATGTAACAAGTAAATATTTCTGGGACGAGCAGAGCGAGATCCCGCAACATAAACGAGTTTTATGAAACGGCATTTCGTAACGTGTTACATACAATATATTTTCTAATTCTGACTAGAATATTTATAAAATTGTGTTTTGGTAAGACATCACTGACATCTAGGCAACCAATATTACCTTCTTGTATTGTTAGTTGCATATGAAACCAGTTTCATAATGTTCAACATTATACAACTGATTGCATAAAGTAGATCATTTTGACACTTGCTGCGATAACAAAAAATGTCACTTTGTATGTCAAAATTAAAAAAAATAATTTAAACCCAATACACGACAAAATAACTCACTTTTTTGAGAACTAAATAACTTTAATAAGCCATATAAACACACTAGAAGTCGTTGAGAATAAATATTAATTATGTTGCATATACACAAGAAAGTAGTAATACTGGTTGCCTAGATGTCAGTAATGTTTTACTAAAACACAATTTTATAAATAATCTAGTAAAAATTGAAAAAAAAAAAAAAATTGTATGTAACAGTTTCGTAACTGGTTTCAATAGCTATTTGGCATATAATTTTGTATATATAAATTATAAAAAAAAATTTGTTTGTTAACTTACTTACGATATCTACCTTTTGCGTCACCAAAAATATTCGATTAACCAAAACACCTTCGTCATCGCCAAGGAAGCGGTTCAGTCTGCGAGAGAAAAACTCTAAAAATAGCCAGGAAAGTTGCCGAATCTGGTTTGATCTAGTCTAGAACGTCTTGTAAATAAATGGCGCCCTTTAATTTTTACATTAAAACTGAGAGCAGATTTTAATTTTTCACCCCACAGCCAAATATTTAAAAATACACCAATTATTGAAAAAATTATGTATGAAAAACTAAAACCTAATTGAACTTTTGACACTTTGAATTTCCGAAATCATCCACTTTTGGACTGAGCTAAGTTAGGTTAGATCGTCATATTTAAGCCTCAGGAATATGTGGTAGCATTTTTCGCAACTGTATGGAAGAGTGAGGCTATTTTCTATTTTTGAGTGTAATTTTTCAAATGTATGAATTTTATTTCGAAAGAAAAAAGAATGTACCATTTGCCTTATTAAATTCTCTACCCGAGTTTCAATAAAGGTCTTCTTTTTTCTGAGGGCTTTTTTGGATGTGAGACTTCTCCAATAAATGTATCTTCTTTAATAATGTTATACACTGTCCACTTAGATACTCCACTATAGGTCTCACATTTAGTGGCTATTTCATCCACAGTAAGTGAAACAAAGTCTTTTCAAAGATTATAAAATACATTAAGTTAAAAATGTTTCTTCTTAAGATAATGTTTTCGCGTACTTGTGCTTACAATATTTTCTAATGCACTCGCCATTCTTATATAACTGTAAAATTATAATATTTACTAATCAATATATTCCGAATCAATTAAAATAAATAAAGTTTGACGTATCTTTCAAAATAAAAGGTTATTACAGTGACAACCATGGAAACATGATTAAATCTAAACGAAAACTTTTGTTAGATCGATCAGATGTATTAAAATTTTTATTTGAACTACAAATAAGCATTAAAGGATGAGGTATAGATAAAATGTCTACCTACTGAACCTGTACTACGTTCTGCAAATTAAATTACTGCACTCCTTTCTTCTCTAGACTATAAAAATAGCAAAAAATATTTAGTAGACAAAGAAAAACAACTGAGAAGAAAAAAGAAACTCAACTAAAGAATAAAAATACTAAAGGCGGGATTATCTTGGATTGAAATGGGACATAAGTATTTAGCAAGGAGGGCGGCGACCAAAAGTCTTCATCAGTTTCGGATTGGGACCTCCAGGGCCTACCGGTCAGGAGGGAGAAGGGCCCGCCTTTTTTCATGGTCCAATTTTTATTGAAGAGCAAAAAAAGGTCCTGTCTCATTGAATAGCTAAAAAAAGGTCCTCTCTCATTAAAGAGCTAAA